TATCATCCGAGTACAATCCTTACCATTCATCCGCGCGACGAAATTGAAGATTTCACCGGAGACCTCTTATCCAAATGAATCGCAGTGTTTGTGACTTGACCGTTGACCGTGACCTGAGATTACCTCCCGCTAAGGCTGGTGTGACTTTCGGCATTACTGAGCAACTTTTATATTAAAATCTCAACTTGCTTGTCACATTTCTGTCTATTCTCTAATACGGTACAGAAACAGTGACCTCAAGTCGGCTTCATGTTCATCATCTGAGCAAATTTCGTGCGCGATGATTGTGGTGCATAACGTGCGTCATAATGACTGAAGGAGTGAAGGACACTTTCACTGGGACACCTTTGCCGAACACAGTGCCACATGATCTCGAATAAGCTACGGAATGAATAAACTAACACAAAGAAACGGAATCCTGATGGACAAAAGGGGCGATTCGTATTGACCGTCGAAAGTTCGGAAACCCACCAATCTCGAGCGCGTGAATTGGGGAGTTGAAACACAAAGCAAGAGAGAATAGGGAAAATGATACGATCTGGTGGCCAGTGAAGCAGCGATCATTGGCTTCTAGCCATAGGGGAAGAGGTATATGGGAAGCCTGTTGGATCCCGGAAATGCACAACCCGAATTTCCAGTGACTGTGTTGGTCGCACTGAAGGTATTAGCCGTCGTCAATGATACGAGTGGCCAGTGAAGCAGCGATCATTGGCTTCTAGCCATAGGGGAAGAGGTATATGGGAAGCCTGTTGGATCCCGGAAATGCATGCACCGAATTTCCAGTGACTGTGTTGGTCGCACTGAAGGTATTAGCCGTCGTCTTCCACACAATGACTCTTCAACGAAACTTCTGTGGGCGAAGTTTGACTCTCTGAGTGCATTAGACAGCGATGAGTGACTTCCAAGGAGTAACACCGCACTGATTAAAACGGACTAAATAGCCGCTAGCTGTGTAACTTGGAATTCTTATCTCGAAAGTTGGATACTTGTCTGTCTCGTGGACCTACGGACAACATACTAGGAGTGTACGAACGTAATTGTACAAAATAAAGCGACTCAGTACACGAACATATGTTGACTGTCATTAGGGTGTACCTGAATCCGACTGATTTGTTACATCCCTCTCGTTGTGCAACTTCATGCTGGCAGGGGTGCCGGGAGTGATGGCGTATGGCCAACTTCGATTATCGGCCTTGAGTGCGCCTTGTGATTGTTACAGGCCACCAAGTCGCTCATAAACAGTCCGGGTTTAAACGACTTGTTTTCTCCGCTCGATTTGAGAGGCATAAGAGGCTAGTGGTTTCAAAACTCCACCCATTTCCCTTCCTCTGGTTCACTCAGGGTCAATGCCATCCAGCTAGCTGAAAACTCGGACCAGCGCAAACTTTGTACCAGCTCCGGTGTTGTGCGGCGATCGGTCTCCAAAGGTCAACATGAACGACAAATCAGGAAACGGGAAACAGCCTCTTGTACACGCAAATGAAACACATAAATCTGTTACTTATCTCTTCAGTTATGAATTGAATGGGCGGAATTCATAACCAAAAAAATTTATAACAGGATGCTCGCAAAACTGAGCTTTAGCATATCAACACCCCAAGCCAACTGGGAAGCATAAACATTTGTTTAGTTATAATAATAAAAAAATTAGGTGCACCTGCGCATTTTCCCGGAGATTTTGAAAAAACTTTTGGCAGTGTAAACACAACGTCGACTCCATTGAAACGACCCGAAACACAGCTCACTCGATCTGTCTCACCATGCAAAAGTTTGAAGCTGCGGTCGAAGAAACCAAGCACGAGAAACCAAATTAGTTCTGTGATTGATGTTCGCATCGTCAGACTTTACGCGAGCCCAACCAAACTTCGGTTGCTTTTGAATGGAGGAAGAGTTCACGTGACATTCAAGTAAGGCATTGTGAGAAATAGCTAAATACCGTGGGTCACACATCATTTAGGCCACATAGCGTGGCGAAACTGGTCAATAGCTGGTCACGTGACTTGAACTGCACGGATATCCTAACCGTTAGTTAAACAAACTGGTGAACAGTCATTAGTAGGTGAATGGGAGGACGCTTAAACACCTATTCGGCAAATTGTTCGTCCGACTGTCTTTGGTGATTCATGAAACAGACGCTGTCGATTAAATTCAGTATGAGTGAAGCAGTTTCTTGGCCTTGGGACCTGACTGCACCTTGCAGGTTAAGTGAGATATATGCTGGGTCCCTGGGTCATCACATCGGATGACCGTACAGAGCACGGTATCCGAGAGCCTGACCCAAAACACTTCAAAAGACAGTAATAATCGTTCGGCTGCAACAACTTTTCGGTGCCTATCTGCCATGCCATCCGAAAGGAGCACGATGGCTGAGATAATCCAACAATGTCCAAACCTAGACAGGAGTAGCCGAGAGGGTTCAAACCAAGGACCTTACAGTCAGTCAGTTCCCACCATAACCATAACCTTGCTCGGTATTGGCAAGCTTCAAGAACATCGCTATTAGTTGTTAGACCCACGCTCTCGAACTGGCGACTGTGATTGTTCCTTGACTTTTGTCGAATTGACTAGCGGCGTTTCATATTTCCTTGAAAATAGGATGCAAATTTTCCGAAATCGCGCGTCGTACATATAATGACCGTAAAAGAAACCGCCGCCTGCACCAAACAAAACGAAATGGGTGCATACCCAAACAACCGGGTTTGTATGTCACACCTATACGACGCATTGCGTGTCGCCAGTATCGTACCAACTGAAATGCCAGGTGGCCTGGTACGGGACAAACAGCATATTCTACTGGGTTTATTTCAGTTTTGTGTGAAAAAACGGGCTTACAAATTAGCGCATTTTTCCAATTTAGTGTGATTTGGACTAAAAAGACAGTTGACGGAAATTCGGTGACTACGCCTACTTTATGTGCCTCAAGAAAGGCTAGACCGATAGTGAGCTATCGAATAGTCTTCAGCAGACTTATGCGTACACGACTTTGTTGAGCTGGCTTGAAAGTAAAGGTTATTCATTTAGAAATCTTTGATTTGCCTACAAGTAAAACCATCGATTCCAGTGGATCAACGTGACGGTACGGTTTGAAGCGGTCCTTCAAAGTCCGACTATTAGAGACAAAAGTCATCATTGTCATCGACAGCGTAACATCAGCATTCACCAATGATGCCTCGTTTCTATTGTGAGGAAAAGAGTAAAAGTGAGTGGGGAATCGACTTAGTTCTGGGCTACCACAATCAATTCAAGGTGCCTACACCTTCAGACACCCATTCAGGCCCTATATATTAATACTGACAAGAACAACTCCGTCGACAGCATCTACGGTTATGGGGTGGGAGGATCACGCGGACCCCACACTGACAGCACGCAGACGTTTTGTATTCGCCCATATATCCCTCTGCCAGGGTTGTCAAACGCGCGTGTCATTCTGAAATGGGTGCGGAAAATAGCACCATCATCAACTTACAATGACTGGATATGTGAAACAATCGGCCCAACGTGAGCATCTTCTGGACCGGACACAATCTTCGACTAAAATCTCCTTCACACAGCCAAACACTCGTTTTCTGATAACTTCGCCGGCACCAGCCTACCTGAACTGTCCTCAAGAGGTCAAGAGATAGAAAGATATCGATATATGATCAACATTGTTTTGTACGATGAAATACTTCACCGTGTATTCATGTTTCTTCGTGGAAAGCCTGAGTTAAACCTAATCCTTTTGCTCGGGTAACGCCCGGACGTGTTCTCCATCAGCGTCAACTTATATTACTTTGAAAGGTGCGTTCTGCAGATTGCCAAACGTACCATGAACACAGCCCTATAAGAATAAGACACGGATGTAGTGCTTATGAACTAAATTCTTCAAGATACTAGCTATTAAGCGTGAACGAGTTTTCGTACGTTTAAGAATCCTCCTTGCTGGGTCAGTCAGCCCAGCGATGGCGCAAATTCGACGAGGAACTGGATAAAATGAAGAGTGGAGCGAGTGGAAGTCACCACCAAATAAACAAAAATTTGCATTTCTCTATTTCCAGTTTGTTTGTCCTCTGAAAGTTGCGTCTCGTTTAACACGTGTCAAACGGAAATCTAGTCAAATCCACTGGGTCAAATGACTGATGTCAAAATGTTGTATTGTTAATCGTATTACATTTAGTTTTAATTCTGGTAAATTAAACTCATTGACGTACAAAACTGCGACCCAAAGACTGCGCCCAGCATGAGACAGGGCCTGCTTAAAACATTATGATTTTGGCGGGATCATAGCATGTGATTAAAAGGTCCTTGATATAGGCTGACAGCCTTCGCTCCATCACGTGCCCAGCATGAGACACATCACGATTTTGACAGGACCATAGAATGTGCACCCTTTGCGAAGATCGGAGACATGGTAGTGGAGGCTCTGCACGTTTCACACATTCCAGAGGTCGTTGATGTATGCTGACAGCCTTCGCTCCATCACGCCACCTTTCAATAACCGACCAAACATTCCCGAGTAGATGAAATCATCGCATCACTCCCTTCCTCCAGCACCAGGCGCTGACATATTACGTTTCAAACAACACTATTTCAAACCAAATTCTCCAAGACAAAAGTGTATTCTCAGTGACCTGAGAATAGCTCTGAATTAAGTTTGGACATGTCTATCTATCTTGACTTTTGACCTGTCTATCTCACGCAACATACGTGCTCGCGAATTAGCGAACGCCCATTTGTCATCTTGTCGTTGTTACACCTAAAACCAAATCTCCTATTTTAGTCAACGTTTTTTACTCTGACCGTGCGGACTACTGGGAGTTTAGGTGGTCACATGATTGCCTGATATCTTCACAGACATAAACTGGAATATCTCGTATAAATATGTCATGTTTTGAACCATCAGCCAGCTTGCTGTTCCAAGAAAACTGTGTCCCGCGGAAGCGCGGTGTCTTCGTCCTCCGAAAATGTGTTCAACTGTGTACTCTTCAGCTTACCTTCTAACTTTTTAAAAATTCTTGAACATGTTGCGGAAACGATCGATCTCAATGGGTTCGGTTCGATATCGGGTGGCTGGAGATGAAACTTGTACAGCCGCGTCCTCCTCATCCAAGAGGACGACGGAACACCAAAAATCTAAAGAAGATGAGGACGTAGACCAAGAAGTGGAGGGTCAGAAGGAGGACGAGGTGGCGACGGAAAGGAAGCCAAAATTGTCCAATGCTCAATCAGTCGATCAGCTTATCGTCGAACGGGATATTAGTGAAGGCAAAAAACAAGTAAGCCTTTGTGTGAAATACGGTTTTAAAGGTAGATTCAGTTGAATCCCAGCTAAACCTGTCATTTATGCTATTGTCCAGATGAATGTGCTGCGCAGAGGCTGACTTATGTTTCAGTTAGCGCGATACTTTTAGATATTGCAGTATTTTTTCTTGACGGAATCTACTCACATTGTGGCTGAATACGCTCTGGCAGCCCATCAGAACAGCAAAGCTGGTCGTCGGATTTCGAAGCATATTTAGAAAAATTTGGATTTGTTTCCTTCAAAAACATGCGCGTTTCCATGTTCCTCTTCGTTAGTATACTCAGAAAGCTGACAAAAACAAACGGCGACATTACTGCCTCTCTGAAGAACGATATCAAACAAACGAAGTAATGCCGTCACAGGTGGGAGGATGTTCTGAACTTTTAAATCTTGGTTTCATCGGCACAGATTGGTAAACTGTTTATTGCTGAGGTTCTCCGAAAAATGAAACCACTGTGTATCGTTGCTATAACGTTCAGAATTGACTGACTTCACTGGCAGAAGTTAATCTAGTCACCACTCGAGGAACCAGTCAATACTGCAGGGACTGCGTGAACAACGCATGAGCAGTGCCCTATCCTGCCACAGCTCGCGATGACGGGATATCTGAACAACAGTGCTAGAGGAGTTTCGGTCTCGAATCTCACTCAAAGTTTTGATCTCGAAGATGTAGCACGCTCTATAACACGTTTAAAACAAGAGCACCAAGTATATTTTTTGGGGAAAAATCATTAGTCAGCCAACAGAATCTCAAGGCCGTCAAATGACCTTGTACGGTTGCACATGGAGGGTTCAAGTGACCGATTAGTAATAGCTTTGGCTGTCTCCAATGCTGATTGGAGCAATTTGTGTATATCCCACTCTTATCTGGTGCATGGTGGCGATCAGAGGATCGGACTCATCAAGTGCCTCTTGGTTTATGCTAACAAATTCTCTTGGATCGCTTCTGAGTCGGGTAAGCCTCATAGTCTTCTAAATACCGGCAAACTATTGAACACGTGACCGCTGAGTCCTTGGGACTGCCTTGGTTTTTTAATACTTCGCTCGGCTTACCGTTATTAACTTGCTCATCTGGATACTATCACCAAATGTTTCAAGTAGGGAAAATACAAGGAACAGACTAAAATACAAGATTTTTTTAAGTACTGAGAACATGCGAAGAAAGTATTACATTGCAACGGTAGTCATGGCAAAATTTGACAAGTCTGGGAAACCGGTCTACTAAATTGTGAAATCAACCGAAAATTATGGAAAAGTTCTTCCGCCTGTCCTGTCAAGAATGATGACAGGAAAAGTTTCATTTTGTGTCTTTCGAAGCAGACTTTAGAGGTGCCCCACGTTCACACAGTCCAATGGCTGGTCAGCTATTCACGTGACCACTGGGTGTGATTTATGCTCCAAATGGTCGCGCCAATCAAAACAACGCAGACTGGGCCTGCATATTATGCTGTCATTATCATTGATTACATTTCAACACTGTTTTATACGCGGCTTTTTCAACAATCTATCAAGATCCGTTGAAAGTTTTGTGGACAGAATGTATGAGAACCAAGGTTTGAGGCCGTCGAACTTAGTTCAAACTTTTGTCTTCAAACCGAATTGCGGCAATTCCGTTCACCGAGGGCAAAGAGAGCAAAGAGGAAGAGAGAGAATCACGCAATGAACGCGGTCACTTAACCCGTTAGTTATTCCTGGATACTTTCGGGTGTTACACCAGAGTGAGATCTGGTAGTTTTATGCATGATTCACGTTGATCGGGTGCTGGAGCCTGATCACTCCGTCCCAAGATACAGCAATCGACTACCAAAAGGGATTTATTGATCGAGGCAACCGTATCCTGTTTGAATTCCTGGTGCTTCCGGCTATTTCCAGTATTACTGTTGCGGCTTTCAATTGAAAAGCGTAAATAAGGAGAGCTGTAACGACTGAGCCTTCCGGTGAGTCTTGTTCCTGCTATTATTTTGGGTTTATGGCATACAACGAAAGCAGCGGCATTACTTTGGGCGTTTTCTGTAGCAGTTTTGTTTTGTTCCTTCTTACTACTTCTGGGTGGTTAAATCCAGAAGTATACCTTGGGAAATCCCAGACAGATCCTCTGACCTCAGCCGTCCATGCGACACACCTGAGCTAGGAATGTGGCAACATCTTTGTTTGGTAAGCCCGATCTCATAGCAAAGGGACACAGAACGTCATTGTGTTTACCCACATGGATGATTTCGCGTGCAGTTGTTTTACTGAAGAAGGTCCGTCCATCGATAAATACTCTCATTTGGACACGAATTTGGCTTTGACAGAAGGCTCGACTGAATCTAGCTGAATCTGTCGTTTATGAGCGTCCACCTCAATTGAATGTACTGCATCGGATCGCTTCATCTTTCAACTTGTACGATAGGTGAGATATCGCGATACATTTTCTAAACGCAACACACTACTCATAAGGTTGTTGGAAATTCTTCAACAGCACCTTGGAACTCAAAAAGTAGGCGTGGTCTCCGAGTCTCCCTCAACCTTATGTTTTAAGTGAACCTCCATTGGACAGACTTTGACAAATACTACTATTTTCAATTTGAGTGCAGGCACTCGAGCTACCAACACACAGGCATATTGTCAACATTTTTTCTAACGGCGGAAGCTCCAGCTGGTGAGCGCAGATGTGTCAGCATTACCACGTGTTTGAAACTTTCAGCGTCCATGACGCTGTACCTTCAGGAGAGGGCGGGTCGAAAAAACTGTTTGATCACCGCCAAACTCTTCCGACTGTTGAACAGACGACCCATTGAAGTTTGGTGAGATGCGCATTGCTGATGATTCTCAATAATGATGAAACGGCTGCTTCAGTATAGACTGGCTTCATGTACAGGACGAGATGTCTCCCTCTTTCAACCCCGCATTGACGATATCAACTTGATTAGTGATGAAACGTTTGGGATTCAACTACCACGCTTGGCAAACAGAGCAACCAGCACACCGGCCAAATAGCATACGATCGATTGGAACATTCGGGCTAAAAGCATAGTCCATACTAACAAAGTGCCAATCAAGTCCACACCACTGAAATGGGCTGGGCTAATTTCGGTCCGGTGGTTGCTCTATTCTGCAACTCTCCTAGGACCCACCTGTACCAATCTGGGATCTTTAATGGTTTCTAAGGATAATTCACAATATCTGGTCTGGGTTTGATCCGTAGTTGTGGGAGTTCCTTTCTGAGCGCTTCTATCAAACAGGCGGAGGTGTACACAGCATGATTTGTTGTCGTCTATCCTAGTTTAGACGCAGCAGGGTGGAGGTGTTGTGACAATATCCGACAACATCAATCGGTTGTTGATGATGCTGTGGTAGACAAATGCATCATGCATGTTGTTATCGGATTCCGTGTAATGGGACACTGATCATTTAGGTCACGTGACAGCCGAGGACTGATTAGGCAGCAATCTGACTCTTGTCCATGAACAGCAGGTGAAGATGAGGATGAGGGGTTCATAATGTGTTGGGATGTGTGTGTGTGTGTTGACAAACATGTCCGCACACCACTATAGTGCCTTGTGTTTACTTCACCTGGATGCGCTTCCCAGAACGCGTGCCAAGAACCTATTTCCTAATTGCCAAATTTACTTTGAACTAAAGGGGTGATGGCATGATACGAAGCAACCTACCAGCATCCATATTTTCCAGTCGAGTGTATGCTTGGATCCACTGTGGGGAGAGCTATGACCTCCTGAGCAGTGTTCAGCCAATATCAACGAATTCAAGACAAGAAACCTCGTTTATCACACCCCAAGACCTGCAATTCGGACGTAGTCAATCACGTATTCAAATCAAGTATTCTGCCTTGGAAGCGGTTTTCCCCTCATTGAACAGATGACATTCAAAATGCCTACTTGCAAGCAAATTGTTGATAGCTTTGAGAGTTACTGCTGTAAACCATCAAAAATTTAACCATGATTCTAGAAGAAGTGTCCTCTCTTACTCCCGTCTATCTCTGTCATATTTGCCATCTACACCGTAGTCATCATCGGGGTCATCATTATCGCGAACACAAACTCTATCATTAGCGAAATACACTTATTTGCAAACTAATTTGGTTTTTCGAGAGACTCACCTGGAACCCAGCTAAACCTCGCGTTTGTAATGTTTCCAGGCCACTGAATGTGCTGCATCAGGCCGCCTCATGTTTCAATCGCTACGATATTCGAGATATCGCGATACATGTATATTCGCAAAGCACTCCTCATAAGGTTGAAAAATCTGTTGCTCAGCGTAGATTTCGACTCATTGAAAAAAAGGAATTTTTCGTCGGGCTTTGACAAGACCTATTCCTCCCGAGTTATTCCAAGCTAGCTGAAACAACCGGTTTGTATGTATTCGGTAAAGTCTTCGGTTTTCAGAGCAACAGCTAACTCAAAGTTCCAGGCTGTTCCATGAAATATCCCATCAGAATTTCCGATATTCACAAACAGTGGTGTGATAATGGTATCTTAATTCAGCTGAGTTCTAGGTCTGAAACTCCCAAACTAGCGTTCCTAAACAAATAACCACCAAAGGTGTTTTCAAAACAAGTGAAAAACACTTGTACAGTGCGTCCTATACAAACCGTTTGTCGCGACAACATTCTGGATGTTCTGACGCCTTCTGGATGCTCCACTGGCAACCGGCATTCGGCGAATAATGGACCGTGATTGGCTTTACGGTCCACATTTTCTGACAATCAGAGCTTACCTTGATGCACGACTGGCCCAGTCTTCTGGCCAATCTTGTGCGGGACAGGCTTCTTGGCCGTAGCAGCGCCCAAAGCGGTAGTGGTGTGGAATTCCGCCCAACAGATGGGCTGAAAAACCACTGAGAATCTGGGTTGGACCGTTCGTGCCAGGATGCATTAGGTGGAACAAGCCGTATTCCGGAGTTCACATAGCATAGATGGTAAGCGAACATTCGGCTGACATTTTAAACTCACCGCACAGCTTCATCATCATCATC